AGACCGTCCATTTTCAAAACTTTGAAAATTTTTAAGTATCTATAGATGTACTCGATTGGTCTAAGAAGGGTGAGGACCTTAAACTTTCCCTAATCCATGCCAAGCCCGCGTAAAGGAGGTAGGTTATGTTAGATAGGTAGCTAACGCGTAAAGGAGGTGGGTTATGTTAGGTAGACAGCCAATAAAAACTTCGCCATAACTTTCCATAAATCCTGAATCTACATTATTTGCTTACGCTGGTGCATTCCCCCGTAAGCGACGCGCTATACTGCAAAAAGATGTGGGGACTTACGGCCTCACTGAGGGTATAACCTTTGATAGAGCAGAATGGCAGATCAGGATTCATGTAGCCAACCCCAAATGGTTTGGGAAAAGGTTCTAATGATGATGATGATAATGAGATCTACTCAATCTACACCATTTGGGAGCATCCAATTTTCATTATTAGGGGTGAAATTAGATTTTTAAGCTATTGTAAGGGTTTTTGGTACTGGGAGTCTGGAACTGCATCTTTTAGTAAGATTTGGAGGTCCACCTTATTTTGATTGTTTAAGGCTATCACCTTATACAAACTGCACCCCAAATTTTTTAGACATTATTTTACATAGCTGTATAAGAACCCGCCCTTTGACTTTGTACCATCAGCCCTGTCCATGTCTATGCACCCGCATGAGATTATCCGAAACAAGTACAAAGAGATTATTTATTCATTAAAAAAAATAATAAGATAATGCAATTATATTACAACAGGTTATTACAATTTTTACAATATATAGGCATGTGTTATTGTAATTGCCATAATGCATATATATATATATGTGCATGGCTTATATGTCGTACATATTTTGTAGGAAAGGTCAAACGCCTCAATTCTAGCAAATACCAAATGGTGCCTCCCACAAGCCCCAGCTCCTGAATCACAGAATGGAGGCTTTGTTTTAGAAGTTTCACTCATATAGGAAGGTTGAGCTCAGTAAACTTTCCTATTCTGTCATGTTTCACCTGATGATTTTTCTTTTTTGGTTAAATCAATGTTTGACCCATGAATTTTTTTCAATCGATCGTTAAACCCACAATTAAAACTAATTTTACATATATCCTCATTGTTCCTTTGTTATATAAGTTAGCACATTACATTTCCTTGCTGTGCCTATGATCTAACCAACTAGACTTCATGGGAGATAAACAAGGTAAGCACAAAATCTGCAGGTCAACAAAATACCTGAGAAAAATTAGTGGCTTTGTTTTTCAGACATGCATCCTTTTGCTTCCTTAGTTGTTCAAGAGCATGGATATTATTTGAGTGGGACGATATGAAATTCATATATAATGGACTTCTGGATGGCGCACGGAAGTGATCACAATACTGCTCAAACAAATGGAAAAGTTCTTCTGCAGAATTCTGTATATAAAAGTAAATTACAATATAAATTGTTCCAAGGAAATTAAAGGAAAAAAAAACCATATCTTAATAATGGAAAGGGCTCCCAATTCGCAGCAGGTGAAGAGAAACATTACCTGGTAAAATGCAAGTATCTCAGTCGTCTCCATGTTATACACAGCAAAAAAAGCACGATATTGATCGGTATTCCGAGACATCTGGAAATTTGTCACGTAATGAGATAATGTAACATGGTTGTTGCTTATAAGAAAGGGAGTCTATATTATAAACCAACAGACTACGGAAAACTACACTTCATCGGGGCCATCAACATCCAATAAATGATGGATAGTGAAAGAAATTGAGAGGTAAAGACTGAGAGAGTGGCACCCACAAGACAGTCGACCCTGTGGGGTCCATTCTCTCTCCAATATATATTTTACTGGAGGGCGACCAGCCAATGGACTGTAGTCATCCAAATTCCACTAGACTCTAATATGCATTCCCTAAATATCGTAATTTAGTTCATCCTGAAGAAACACTATATCAATATCAAAATTTGTCATTCTAGGAATCAAGAAGGCTTACCCCTCCATCTACACTACAAAACCTGATTAGAAGATGATGGTGGTCGAGGAACTGTACCTGTTTGGGAAGATCAAATAGAAAGTCAGTTTATGCCCACTCAAGGACATCAAAGAAGAAAAGGAGGTCGGATTTTTGCAATTTTTTTTCGTTTTGGTAAAGAATGAAACAAAGTTATTGCACCTAAACTTCATCCCTGCTAGCACATTTTAGACATCTGAACCAAGCAAAGAGACCAAAAACCATGTGAGACTAGGCTAGGAAAAGCCAAATAATAATTTGAAGCTAAGGGGTGAATAGGCCACCAATTACTACTTTCCAAAGCATAGGTGAAGAGCAAATGCTTAAAAATGGCTTATGATAAATCATGTTCCAAACCCACCTTCCACATAACCAGGTCAACATAATCTTGGAAATGGAAATAAAACCTCTTCTTAAGCCGTTGAACCCTCTGAAACACAAATATATCAAATGATTATAATTAAGCATATCTTTATTAAGAGAACATATATATATATATATATATATATATATGCACAAGGAGTGGGGTTTATGCATCAAGAGGATTAACTATTCAGAGATTCCTAACATGAACACTCAACCATAAATTACAGTATCATGTCACAATCATTGAACCAAAAGATGAGATGCATTTAAGGAAGATCATTAGCATTTGGAGTTGAGCACACCCATGATCTAGAAGTAAAGAAAGGAATCATTCTGTTGTTTGGTTGATGAAGATATTTCACTGAATAAACTAACTCTTCTCTGATAATAGTAATACTAATAAAAATTAAAAAAAAAATTTGTGCATGTTTGTATGGGATATGCTAATACACCACTTAATTGTTCCTTTACTGTTCCATACAGTATTGCCCTTTGAATGCAGAGAATCATTACTACCAAAATATTCAAGCTTCAGCAAGCCTAACTGAAGCTAATATGTTTCTAATTCGTGCTAATTATATAGGGATTGTCTATAAAAATATCATTTATCTTTTGTACATGGAGGTCACAATCCTTCCCACTCACTAGATGTCAAATTGGATGGCTTGGCTTGATTAGCAAAATCCGATAATTTTGTTTTGGACCTTTGTGTCTATTCAATGACACTCTCTATGTCTATTCAATGACACTCTTACAACCAGCCATTTTGAAATTTAAGGAACAAGAATGATTTTGACCTCCATGTACAAAAGATAAATGGTTTCTTGTATACAATCTCATTAATTTATCAGTCATGAGTATAAAACCAACCATTTAAAAACGTAGTCAAAACAAAGAATCCTTAGAAACCAATGATAAAATGTGGCTTGTCTCTATATGAATTGTCTCTTAAGCTTCGGCTTAGTGGTAGACATATCAGTTTGGTTGAGGGAGGCAATGGTTCAAATCCTTGAAGTTTATCCCAAAAATACCAAAGAAAGCTGAACTAGCCTTTTTTCTGGCTCCATGTGAATACATGAGAGAAGCACAAGTAGGTGAGTTGAAGTTCTGACTAATCTGGATAAATGCAGCAAGCTCGCTTTCACACAAGTACCCAAGAAAGCATTAATGAAGTCTTCTCCATAACATTATCAAGGGCACTCATATGAGTAGTGGATCTATGATAAATCTTTCCTAGCTTCTCATTTACCAATTGGACATTGAGCAAAAAAAATTATTTTTTGCATTGGGCGAGGGAACTTTTATCTTGCACACTCAAATTAGTAAAGATCGAACATATGAAAATGGTACAGATTCAAATGGATCTTTGACATGAATTGCTGAAGCGTAACTCATTTGCCATGTCAAATTCAATATTAAATCCAGAAAAAATTGGATCTTCAATTTCAGTTTCACAGAACAAAGTACTTCTTGAAGATTTCTGAAATTCTGACCAACAAATTAATTTGATTACAGATAGAGATCTCAACAACCAACCAGAGAATGATCTGTTTCTTCATTCCATATTCCTCGAAAAATAAATGAAAGCAAGCGCTGTTTGATACCACTCAAGAAAGCACCCCCTTGCGTAGGCTGATCAAGTTGCATAGAACTATTATCCTGACAAATGGAAGACTCTTCTTGTTTACCTTTGTCTAAGGGTACAAATCCCTGCATGATACAACACAGTTAGCACATGATGACAACAGATACAAAGACAAACTTCCATTATAAAAAGTTGATTGCCAAACACAAGTTTTCCTAAATTGAAGCCCATTTCTCTTTCATATATTTCATATACATTCAGAAGAAATGTCCAAAACAAACAAGTATGGTGAAATAAATTATAAATAAATGCACAAACTTCATTAACCCAGCAAGCATTCAACTGGCTAAGTAACAGCCAAGCAACTTTTCAACCCGCCAGAACAGACTTCCACTTAAGAGAATCAAAACTGCTTAAATTTTATCACAAAAGGAGAAGTCCGGGTCCACACCCACTTGGCATATCATATTAGTGACCCACATGGCATCTACTTATGAATAACTAACTATAAAATACAAAAACTCCCACACCCAGCCCACTTCAACTTTGCAGCTTATGGGTGTAATTTTTGGATGCCTGAGTCCAAAGTAGAGTTGCTTGGCATAGACAACAACCTGCCTGAAGAGCCAGGTAAAGAAGTGGAACACATCGTTTTTCTTTACATGTATGTTCCCACAGATATAGGTGCAAGAACTCTGTTAACAGAGAGACAGAAAAAAGTATGGGAGGTGGTACTGCTTTCATAACATGACACTACCGATATTTTTAGGACATACCCCTCATGATAAGCAACACACATAACAAACCAATGAATTATAGACCACACAGACAAATTACTATTCTTCGCTTAAACACTGACTATGTAACATTCCCCCTTGAGTGGGTGACACTGGTAAATAAGAATCTCGCACTTCCCGAACTTAAGTGGAATATAGACCAACTAATCTTCAGCCTTTACATAGGCAGTGCATGTCCATCGCATTAGAGCTCACTATCACTACAACAGCTCAGCCCAATGGCTCGTGTTTTGACTGCTTGATTTTCTCTGTGCAGGCTCATAGGGTATTCAAGTTTCACACCAATTTACTCCGTAAAAGCCTTTAGCCAATTTCACAAGCTGTAGACCCCCTTGTTGTGCTCTGTCATGTATTGCACCAGCACTAGACCTGTCAACTAATTATTGTTCTTCCAACTTACTAAATTTCCATGAAGGAGACAATGAGAACCAGCAGTAGATCACTTACATCAGGGAGATCCAATGTAATACGCATCAGGATAGCCCAAGAGATTACAAATTTATTGAACAAATATTTTCCCTAAACAGAAAGGTCTTCAAGTGCATCGTTAGTAGTTTCATGGCATTCATATGAGATGAACATAGGCCATTTACACTAACCAACTAAGAGCATAAGTGATGTCTACACGTGTCATATTAACTATACTAGGCTTTGACAACTCCCTAGGTACTCAATGTTAGTAGTTTCATGGCATTCATATGCGATGTACATAGGTCATTTACACTAACAAACTAAGAGCATAAGTGATGTCTACGCGTGTCATAGCTAGGTAAATGAGTTGGTAATCATATTAACTACACTAGGTTTTGACAACTCTCTAGGTACTCAATAGCATCCCTTGTGCCAAGCTGAAGTTTGCAATTCACTTAAGTAGGAAACTGATGGGTTTAGAACGAGTCTTCTCAGTTTCCACTAGGAGTTCCAAAGTATTTCATTTGAGAAATGAGTATACCATGATCAGACATGGCCACCTCTATACCAAAAGCTCAATCCACCAAGGCCATTTATGCTGAAGACATTTCTAAGTGCATGTTTTATTCTTCCATATAGGAATGGTCGTCCCTTAGAATATCAACGGAGAACAACACAGTTTTGGGCCCTTCCATCTTGAGGAACAATGAGTAATTACATATTCCAAAGCTGAGAGATGTCCAAGCTGAATGTGTCAAACCAAACCATTGATAACCACTTCAAACTATGTACAAAGCCCATTCCACATGCTTGTGCTAGACTGCTATCCAGAGAATCAACACATGTAGACTTGTTCCTCCACATTTCCGTGTAAAAATGCAACCTTCACATTGAATAGTACTATCCAAATGAGTAGTGTCGAGGTTCTGTCCTCAAAAATAATTACGTAGACTACCTAAAAGGTGACTGTAAAAGAAGGGGACAGTAACTTGTTAAAGGAGACAACATTTCCAAGAGAAGGAAAATACTCTAATGGTATGGGACAACCCAAGACAAGTGAATTGAATTTTGAAAACCAGGAACCTAAACAATCTTTGATGGAAGGAGTTAGTAGAAGATGCAAACCCACTTACTGAAATGCTAGTTAACATAGTCAGGTTGGAAGATTCAACCTATGTTTTTAAAGAAATGGCATTATGCCATGGTAATGGCCAACAATGGGTCACCATTATATCAACCACTATCCCAAATTTTTTGAACTGTGACAAACAATAAAATTTAATAAATGGGGTCACGTTCATACCATGGCCAAGGGGGAGTTACTGGCATATTGAGCATCATATCAGGTATTCTGAGGTTTTTTAAAAGTTGGGTTCAGCAAGAGCAGAGAGCTTGACAAATTCATTTCATCCTTGAACCCTGAGTTAATTGAAGGAATTGTCACATAGTTGGAGGCAGAAGCAGGAGTGGGAGCAGTGGATCATTGCTTGCTAGGAGTTCCCAAGTTTGGGAGCACCATAAGGGCAACCCTACAATAAATATATAAAAACAGAGAAATCTAAAAAAAATTGAATTGCATTTTTTTTAAAAGTATTGAGATGCAAAATTAATATATTAAAAATATCTTTAGCTATACTTAAATTACTTTTCCTTAAATAAAATTTGAGAGTAATAACTAATTTAATTCATCATTATCATATATAAACCCTTCACAATAATACACTAAACATATTTATTTGATGTTAAATTGTAAACAGTAATAGAGGCTATTATTTCGGTGATATCATAAGAAAGCCATTCCTTTTTCTTCATATATGCTCCTCCATTTTATTTTAAAAGAAAAAAGAAAGTGTGATCAATAATTATTGCTTTCTTTTTTATCGAAATACAATAATTGGTTTCATTTTTTATGGATATGTATTTATTGCTTTCTTTTTTTATATTAGCATGCATTTTATTGTTTCTTTGAAGACTATAGATGTGTTAGCATGTTGACTGACTCTTAGTGGGTTGGGATCGCGCACCCCCAAAATGGTATCCTTGTCAAAGGTGTGTAAAACATGTTAAACCAACTCCTATTGGCTTGGGATTGCACTCCCCTAAAATAGGATCACAGCCAGATTACGATCCCACTCCATGAGAATGGGATAGCATTCCTGGCCAGGATCACGACCCAGGTTAGGAGATCCCAGTATCTAAGGATCCTAGTTGGACTCAACATTTGAGCTCTTCCCTTTAATGTTTGTTTGACAGCTTCTGTGACATCTCAGCCGTCATCCTGTTTTCAGTAATCAATGAAAAATACACTGTTACGCTATGAACCCAACTTGCAACTCATCTACCCCACCTCTTATAGATCCTCACCATGCATCTGTTTCAGTTACATAACCTGAACATGAGGATTTGTTGTACATAACCTGAACATGAGGATTCGTTTTATACTTTCGTGTCCTAACAAATTTGTTGTGGCCTTTTCATAACATATCTTGATTCATATAGAATGAAGAACCAAAAAGGGGCAAACGATCCATTATAAAAAACAGTCAATATTAACTAAACTATTATAAACCTACTAGCAATAGCATGTATTATTCTTTTCCTCTATATAATCATGAATTTTTTAAGTCAAGTAATAAGTTAGTTGTTCCATGCCTTTTACTACTCCAAACTTTCCTTCTTGAATGTTTTGTCAAACAATCCAGAATTATCAGCTAAAGAAAACCAGCTGAGGAGAAAATCACATCTCCGTCTTTGCAAAAAAAGTCCTCAGAAATTAATAACATGATTGGCAACTAGCCTCACAAATCCATGAGTCTTAAAGAGATGTTTTCCCTATGCCTGATGTCCAATACCACTAATGTGAAGATCGGTGAATGTTCTTACGACTCAAACTCTAAATAGAATATGAAAATTTCCTACATAGTTCTAATAATTAGTTAAGGATTAGATTTCTGTGAAAGAGAATGGGCACTTTAAAATTGCATGGCTATTTTGCATTGGGTGCTGTTTGTATAGAGCAGATGCTCTAAACAATCAAATTACAGCCCACCTTCAAATAATGTCGAGAAATGTGGTTTCAATACTGGGAGTCTTTGTGGCAGCGTTAAAATATATTTTCATCTTTAATTATAAAATTTAAAGCTTCAAAAATAGTGTAGATCGAGCGGATCTATGAAAATCTTGAAAATTCACAGTCCAAAAATGCATTACAAGATGCACTATTTCCAAAACTTGAAATCCATTTTTTCTCATGTCCATGCATCTTGATGTCGAGATTATCAACCTCTTCTAGTGAAATTTTTGAGGTGAGCTCTAATTTGATTGTTTAGAGCCTCGGCTCTATATAAACGTTTTCATTTTGCATTTCCAAAGCCAAAAATTTTACACAAGATTGTATATTGAGAGGAAGGGCACAAAATGCATTAAATAGAGTTCATTCCAAATATTCGTCATATTGATGCTCCATGAATCAAGTAAAACAAATTCATAGTTCAACTTGGGCTAAAGAAACATAGCAGGTTTCTGTTAAGAAAAGGAAATCATCCCCACAAACAGAAAAACTACTTCACTTGCCTGAGTATGAGAGTTCAGGAAAAGTTCATCATCCTCTTGACAAAACTGTCCAATTGCCCGCACATCCACAAGATGGCCAGATGCTCGAATTTGGAGAATATATATCATTTGGTAACGGATAGACATGATCGACAACAAATCATCATACAGAAAAACCCCAGAGTTATGGGCCAAATTGACAAAGTCATTGCGGAAAGTCCTCTCATCCATGATGACACCATCTTCCATTCTGGCATTTTCCACAAATATTTTTAAGAGAAAGATCTCACATTAATATAAGTGGTTCGATGTCTTACATATTTCAGTTTTGCTCAATATTTTTCTTAAAATGTTAAAACCATATCAGTGTTCAAAAAGTCAACGATCTAGAACAGGAACCGCCAATCTGGATCAGATGCAACCGTACCGATTCTTTAAATTTGTATAAAATAACATGTACAAAACATATAACAAGCAGGTGAAATGGTTCATTCGGCAGATCAATGGACACTCGTTTTTAGGGGATAATGGACTGTCAAGATAATGTGTTACAATATACACTATTTTTAGGGCTTAAAATCTTTTTTTTTTTTCACAACCATAATGGTCAAGTAGAAATGATCGATTTGAAGGTTTTCCGACGCCAAAACTACAATTTTCAGTGAGTTATAAGGTGAAGCTTTATTCATTTTGGTAGGGATGCAGCCCCATCAAACCATTTTCCTTTACTTTATTCACACTTCATAGCATTATTTACACATGTAATTTATAACAATTGCCCCGTACTTTTCATAGATATAGCAAATAATATGAATAATTGAATTTAGTATCATGTTACAATTATACCTTATGACCTCAGTAATGGTAACCTTAAAAGTTGGATATTTGCTATCCTATTAATTTTTAAATGTTATTATTCACTATTTGCAATCAATTTTACTAGTAAAAAAATTGCATAATTGATAGTAAATATAAAAAGGTGCAGTTTGTATAGAGCTGAGGCTCTAAACAATCAAATTAGAGCCCACCTTCAAATAGTATCGAGAAATATGGTTTCAATACTGGAAAGTTTTGTGATAGCCTTAAATTATATTTTCATCGTTAGTTATAAAATTTAAAGCTTCAAAAATAGTGTAGATCGAGCAGATCTATGAAAACTTGAAAATCTTGAAAATTGACAATCCAAAAATGCTTTACAAGATGCACGATTTCCAAAACTTGAAATCCACTTTTTTCTCATGTCCATGCATCTTGATGTCGAGATGATCAATTTGATGATATTTGGGCATCAAAACAACCTCTTCTAGTGAAAATTTTGAGGTAGGCTCTAATTTAATTGTTTAGAGACTAGGCTCTATATAAACTTTTCCCAATATAAAAATACTAGATAAAATAATAATTAATTAATGATATTCTAATACTATCCAGGCATAATCTTCTTTTTTATTAATATTTATTTATTAATAACAAAAATTTCAATTGTTGTTGTTTTTGTTTGTTTTTTTTTTTTTATTTTTTGTATTATTTATTAGTATTATCAAATTCGTGTTTGTTTCATTAATTATCTTTTAATGAAATATATCATTGCAATATTAAAAACTTCTTGATGACATATTTATTTTAACTGCGCTTAATATATATGGAAAAGTTTATATAAGAATGGAACCTTAAAATGTAGAATTAAGGTGCACCTCAAAAATCTATTGGAAAAGGCTGTTTTAATGTTGAATAACCCTCTAATAGATAATCTCAACATCAAGATGTATGATTACGAAAAAAAAAAGATTTCAAGTCCCAAAAATAATGCATCTCACAACACATTATCTAGACCATCCATTTTCAAGATTTTTATATGTTTATAGATCTACTTGATTTGAAGCATTTTTGGAGTTTAAAATTTTATAATTAGAGATGAAAATTGATTTCCATGGCCATCCTAAGAATTTATGACAACAAAATTACATGCTATGATAAAATTTGGAGGTGCCTTAATTT